GTCTTATCTGCCAGGAATTACTTTCTCATTTAATACAGGAGCTCTGCCATTTTCACCACCCAGTTCCTAACACTGTTGGAACATATGACTTGCCTCCTATTTCACATCGAGGTCATTACTTCTGAGAGATTCCATTTTTAATAAACCTTTCTACCTCATCATTCCCTGACTGTGGATTAAGGATACTGATTAGTAATATTTAACACTAGTAGGGATACCTATTAGTAATATTTAGCTAATTTAGGCAATGCATCAGAAAGTATACAGCAAAACATCTGGTACACATTGAATGCTCAAAAAGGGTGGCCTCCTTTCTTCATCTCTGAGGTTATTTCTGTCTTACTTTGCCTTACAACTATAGCTTCTCTCTTTGATTTCTTAACTGTATCCACTTTCAGTTCATACAGTTATGTTTCAGTTCCTTTTACCTTAATTTTCAACTCTACCTTACCCTCAAGCCACTGTCCTTATTTCCACTGTGTCTTCATCATCAAAACTTTCAGAAGGACCTTTGTTCTCTGCCTTATTTCCCATTCTTGATTTCATGACAGTCTGGCTTCTAATCCCACCAACTCTCAAATTTTCCTCCAACGATTTCCTTATTGCTACATCTAAAGACTTTTATAGTCCTTGTATATTTTCTTCTGTTGACCTTATGATATTGTATCCTACTCCTTGTAGCCATGTTCGTTGGCTCTTAGAGCTATCACTTGAAGTAATACCAAGGGGTCTGATGTCTCCCTTTCTGTCTGCTCAGGTCTCTTGTTCTCCCATTCTTTCTTTCACTTCTATATCCCATACAGTGACCTGGCCTCAACTACAGCCTGTCCTGTGATGACTCTGAGATCTCTCCTAGTAGTCAAAACTGCCCATTGATCATCTCTGTTTGCTCCTCTGTTGTTGGTTAATATTCCCAAACAGATCCACAAGTTACAAATTCTTAAAAGTTGTTGCAGATTCTTGTGTCTCTACGCCGCGTATTTGTTTCGCCACAGCATTGTGGTTGGTGATAATTTTCTTCACCTGCATTCATTCTGCCTAACTGCCCTGTTTTTACCCTTCATCATCTGTCACCTCAGTCATTATAGTTGCTTGTTAACTAATCTTTTGGGCACCAGTCTCCCTCGCCTCCAGCTCCAGTTACATTCCTTAAAGAAAAGAAGTTGATTCTACCACTCCCCTGTTTACGAGCCATTGATAACTCCTCATTACCTACAAAATAAATTCCAAAACAGGCAATGCAAAGTTCTTCACAATCTGGGGAAATAATTTCTGTACAAAATCATTTCCTATGACAAAACTTGAGTTGATAGTAATTTTTTTTTAGTTTTTTTGTTTATACTTTAAGTTCTGGGATACATGTGCAGAACGTGCAATTTTGTTACATATGTATACATATGCCATGGTGGTTTGCTACATCCATCCCCCTGTCATCCATATTAGGTATTTTTTCTAATGTTATCCTTCCCCAATACCCCCACCACCTGCTATCCCTCCCCTAACCCTCCCACCCCCTGACCAGGACTGGTGTGTCATGTTCCCCTCCCTGTGTCCATGTGTTCTCATTGTTCAACGCCCACTTACAAGTGAGAACATGTGTGTTGGTTTTCTGTTCTTGTGTCAGTTTGCTGAGAATGATGGTTTGCAGCTTCATTCATGTCCCTGCAAAGGATGTGAACTCATCCGTTTTTATGGCTGCATAGTATTCCATGGTGTATATGTGCCATGCTTTCTTTATCCAGTCTATCATTGATGGGTATTTAGGTTGGTTGCAAGACTTTGCTATTGTAAACAGTGATGCAGTAAACATATGTATGCATGTGTCTTTATAATAGAATGATTTATAATCCTTTGGGTATATACCAAGTAATGGGATTGCTGGGTCAAATGGTATTTCTATTTCTAGATCCTTGAGGAACCACCACACTGTCTTCCACAATGGTTGAACTAATTTATACTCCCGCCAACAATGTAAAAGCATTCTTACTTTTCCACATCCTCTCCAGCATCTGTTTTCTCCTGATTTCTTTTATTTGTTATTTTTGTATCTTGATTTTTTTAATGATCACCATTTTAACTGGCGTGAGATGGTATCTCAAAAAAGATGGTAAATATTTTTGAATAACCTCTTAAAACATCTTCCAGGTCATTGAGTGCCCTCTATTCTGGGTGAAACCATCACAGACTATTTCTTGAATGTGCTTTCTTTCCACCTCTGTACTACTGTATATGTAGATTCTTTATAAGGGAGGACCTTTCATCCTTCAATACAGAGCCCAAGAATCAAGTTCTCCTAGAAATTGTCCATCGTTTTCAGGGCATAATTAGTTACTCCCTCCTTGAAGTTCAGTTTGAGATAACATAATTATATGTTTGCATCTCAGTCTCCAGCACTGCATTGAATTCCATAGAACAGAGACTTTGCCTTGTTTATCCTAATGTTGGATTCCCCCCAGAACACAGCACATTTAAAACATTGGTAATTATCTGCTATTTGAAGCTTCTTCAACTTGTTTAAAATTTGAATGATCAGTTACTTCCAAGTTTTCATTTTAAAATGAGTATTTTATAGAATATAATGCAGTTAAAGATATGTGAAGGAACTATATTTTAATCATTCCATGCTCAGTTACTTTTTTTTTTTTTTTTTTTTTTTTTTTGAGATGGAGTCTCACTCTGTCACCCAAGCTGGAGGCATGTTCTCGGCTCACCGCAACCTCTGCCTCCCAGGATCAAGCAATTCTCCTGCCTCAGCCTCCCAAGTAGCTGGGATTATAGTTGCCCACCACCATGCCTGGCTATTTCTTTCTTTCTTTCTTTTTTTTTAGTAGAGACAGGATTTCACCATGTTGGCCAGACTGGTTTTGAACTCCTGACCTCAAGCGATCCTCCCGCCATGGCCTCCCAAAGTGCTAGTATTACTGGCGTGAGTCACCATGCCTGGCCTGAGTCCCAGCCTGAGTCACCGCACCTGGCCAATTTTTTAAATATCTATTAAGTATTCTGTTTCTTTCATCTGTGAAATATAAGAGTAGTAATTTATAAATAAAAGTTCTTCCTCTATGATTAGTTCAAGAGTCATTCTCAAGGGTACAGAGTCTTCCTTTGAGGGGAAAACCTTTTTGGAAGCAAAAGTGTTATGCTATCTCTGAGAGGTATTGTAATTTGCAAATATAGCATAGTCAGTCTCCACCTTTCAAATGGAAACATTACACAAGTGCATTCAAAAATGCTTTTGTTTAAAAGTTCACATTTGTTTTGACATGAAAAACATGACAATAGTAAATTCCCCATCCATCATGCAAAAACCAGGTTATCCCATAACCTACCAGAAATATTGCACTAATCAATGATTGCATATACCCTAAGTATCATTTTGTGAAGCAGGAATGGTTCTTATATAATTTTGGTTGCTAGTGATACCTGTTGTCTTTGGCAGCATATGTGGGGATTTTCCTAGTGTCTACCCAGTTGTAAATAAGTTATTCTTTAGTCAAGTCAGTGTAAGTCAAGGCCTTCCTGAACTATGATATATTTTATCTGTTAAACAGCCTGCAGTCTTTCTTGCAAGTTCATGCTAATGAAGTAAATGGAGTAACTTTCCTGGTGCTTTGTTTGTCTTACTTTCTTCATGGGGATGTAAACATCATAAATATTTCAAAAGGGCACATGAGATGTAATTTTCAGGGTTTTACAACTTTATAAGTTTTATATAAGCTTTAGATATGTTTTGCAAACATAAGCTATTTATGTATATACATATATATGTATATATGTATGTAAATAAGTTATTCATTAGTAAAGTCAGTGTAACAGATATGTTTTGCAAACATAGTTTTATATATATGTATACATATATATACTACACACACATACATACATACCATGCATACCACCATACCATATGTACATACATATATACCACACATGCAAATGCTGGCGAAGCAGCGTGGAGAAAAAGATAATAAGGGAGGGAGATACAGAGTAGAAAAAACGAGGTAGGGGCTCATTTACAATTTTAAATGGGATGATTAAGTCTTACTGAGAAAGTGACGTTTGAGTAAACCCTAAAGATACTTTTCTTCTCATCTTAGATTTCTGAACGTGAGCATTGGCTGCCATACTGCCATGTAAATTAACACTAGACAAAATCAAATTCAGCATTACCCATCCCCATGTTAAAGCCACTGATTGAAAAGGCGTGTTTGGAAATGAAAGCTATTTATAAACCTACACTAGACACGTATTCTCCCTGACATCAGGTCCTCACTTTAACGTCATTCTTGATCTGGTACTAAGCGTTGTATCAGTGAGGATTGTCTGAGCTGCAGTGATAATGGAGCCAGGGGTTTCAACAACAATGATTTATTCCTTGCTCAGTTACATGTTCATCGTGAGTTTGCAGTGGCACAGCTGAAGTTGCCCTCACTCCAGGACAGAGGCTGATTGTTGAGCTGGTTCTGTCTGGAGCACATTCAGCCTTATAACAGAGAGGAGACATCACAGTGGTCTCATCGAATTCCATTTCCTTGGCCAAAACAAGTCATTTGTGCAGAGCCTTGCCTGATTGAGGAAGGGAAATAGAGCCCTCCCAGAAGGAAGGGCATAGCAGGAAATGGTAGCAGATGGTTGAAACACTAATTATATTTTCCTCACTTAGGTGTTTAATTTTATTTCCCTTCAAACTCCAATATATGTTATTTTCCACTTCAGTTACACAGATGTCTTCTTGTTACCACATCCCTGCTGTGTCCTCTTTTTGAAAATCTGTCCTTGCTGGGCATGGTGGCACCTGTAATCCCAGCACTTCAGGAGACTAAGGCGGGAGGAGCCCTTGAGGCCAAGAGTTTGAGAGGAGATCCTGTCTCTACAAAAAACAACCAAAAATGTTTGTATTTTTTCCACCGCTGGTGTGTTAGCCATCTTCCTCCTACAGATTGTTTGGATCCCAATAATCTTTTAAGATGCAGCTAAGTAACACTTTTCCTTTTCCTTTACAGTTAATCTGCTTAAATACTTCAAGCTACACTAGTCTGCTATGGAATTGAGCACCACAGAATGTGGCTTCAGCCTCAGATGTGATTTCTATTTGAACTCAGAAACCGTGTCTTAGATCTCCCATGCAGCTCTCAAAGTGCTTTGCACGGTTGAGGTTACATGGAAATGTTCAACAAATGAGTTCATGGCATATTTTTTATTTCATTGTTTTTAATAAATATGAAAAATATATACCTATAAGTTTTAAATATGAGACACAGATTATTCTCCTTTATGGAACGGAAGAGTAGATTTCAGTTTTGTTTGAGAAAACGGTATCTTTGTGGTATCTCAGGACCACGAATGAAGCTAGACTGTGAAGTTTTTCTAACTCCACCTTCAGTGTTCTTAAGCAAAACAGCTCCAGTTCAGTGTCTTTATATATGTATTTATCAAAAAACATATATATGTCTAGGTATGTGGGTTTCTATAAGCTTTTATTTGAAAATTAGATTATTCTACCAAAATTTTTTTTTTTTTTTTTTTTTTTTTTTTGGGGCGGAGTTTCGCTTTTGTTACCCAGGCTGGAGTGCAATGGCGCGATCTCGGCTCACCCCAACCTCCGCTTCCTGGGTTCAGGCAATTCTCCTGCCTCAGCCTCCTGAGTAGCTGGGATTACAGGCACGCGCCACCATGCCCAGCTAATTTTTTGTATTTTTAGTAGAGACGGGGTTTCACCGTGTTGACCAGGATGGTCTCGCTCTCTTGACCTCGTGATCCACCCGCCTCGGCCTCCCAAAGTGCTGGGATTACAGGCTTGAGCCACCGCGCCAGGCCTCTACCAAAATTTTTTAAATCACTTTTTAAAAATAAAAATAGAGAGGGCTTTACTAGATGTACACTTTTATGACATAGTTCTTTTGACTGCCATGACTTGTTGGACAACAGCCTTAAGATTTAAGACAAATGTACGTGTTAACATATCAAAGCTAAGCAGAAGATAGGGTGTGTTTTTTAAATTAGTTTGATCTTTGAAGATGAGGGCTGCTTTTCTTCGGCCAGTCCCTTGCCTTGGTAAACTCTCCTTGGGAAAATGATTTATCTCTATTCTCATTGGAAAATAACCTTATTTTGTTTTACTATACTGCTGTCCTTTTGGGCCTATGCTGCTTTCATAAGTTTGAAACTATAACAAAGAAATATCATTTAGTCTCAGAAAGCTTAAGTGAACTTTAAATTCTGGAATGTTTAGCAATGTGTGCAGATAATAGCAACATTCATCTAAGTGATCACTGATTTCAGAAAAAATTTTTAAAGTGTCATCAATGCTCTTGAAGTAAGAAAAATAGCCAACTTTTAAAATGAGATCTCTATATTGGAAACTTTATTCTTCACAAATAAATTATTCCCTACATAAATCATTCTCAAAACGTATTCTCTCAAAAATAAAATCAAGTGAATTCTATTATCAGCATAAGGCATTTATGACCTATAGAAGCTAACAAACAAGATCCAGAAGAACAGGTCGAGGCTGAAGCCTAATTACAGGGTTTCCAGTTTAAGTCAGCAGGTTAAACACACGCGCCTAATTCTCTTTTTTCTTGTTTTAGAGATGGGGTTTCACCAAGTTGCCCAGACTGGTCTCAAACTCCCAAGCTCAGGCAATCCACCCACCTCGGAATCACAAAGTGCTAAGATTACAGGTGTGAGCCACCGCACCTGGCCCAATAATTCTGTTTTCTCATATGGTAGCATTAAAACAATGGAAACGCTCTGTTTTACTTTTTTTTCCTAGCAGTGAAATCCTACATTGAACACTGGGGAAAAGTAGAAAAGGTGTTCAGAAGTGAAGTTGATAAAGCATTTCACATGTAAAATAAAACTTGTCTTATTTGGCAGTCACGGGCGTCACCAGCCTACTTACTGCTTTTCTGCTCATGAAATCCACAGAATGCTGTGAGTGTTGACATGTCTTTCATTCCAGGAAGAAGTCTTTAGGGATCACGTATTTTGCAGTGCAGATGAAACAATATGAATTACTCATACAAATCAATGTCATTTTTCACTTAGAAAAGTAACTAGAATTATCGGATCCAAGAATCATCAATTAGATATTTAGGGGAAAACTGTATTTAGATGAATGAAAAGGGTAATTGCTACCAGAAGATACAAATACAATTCAGGGAATACCAGAAACTTTTGAGAGATACCTAATTAATACCCTCAGCAGAATTTGAGAGGAAGGCCAGGTATGGTGGCTTACGCCTGTAATCCTAGCACTTTGCGAGGCCAAGATGGTCAGATCACCTGAGGCCAGGAGTTGGAGACCAGCTTGGCCAACATTGCAAAACCCCATCTCTACTAAAAAGGCAAAAATTACCTGGGCGTGGTGATAGGGGCCTATAGTCCCCGCTACTCAGGAGGCTGAGACAGAAGAATCGCTCAAACCCCAGAGGTAGAGGTTGCAGTGACCCGAGATCATGCCATTGCACTCCTCCAGCCTGGGGGACAGAGCAAATTTGAGAGGAAATAATAGCTGTAAAGGCTACTATGAAAAAGAAACAATCAAAACAAGAAATTTCCAGGAAATTAAAAGCATGATTATCAAAGTAAAAATGTATTAAACCAACTCATGGACAGAAAGGGCATTGCTGATGCCTAAGTGTGTTTTTATCTTCAAATTAAATTGATGATTGGGCTAGGTGCGGTGACTCAAGCCTGTACTCCCAGCACTTTGGGAGGCCGAGACGAGCAAATCACTTGAGGTCAGGAATTCAAGACAAGCTTGGCCAACATGGTGAAATCCCATCTCTACTAAAAAAATCCAATAATTAGCCAGGCATGGTGGCACACACCTGTAGTCATAGGTGCTTGGGAGGCTGAGGCAGGAAAGTCACTTGAACCTGGAGATGGAGGCTGCAGTAAGCAGAGATTGTGCCACTGCACTCTAGCCTGAGCCACAGAGCAAGACTCTGTTTCAGTAAATAAAAAAAAAAAAAACAAATAAATTGAAAGTTAACTCCCAACACTTAGAAAGATAAGGCAATGGAAGGTTAAAAAGTTAGGGGCAGCTGAGTGCGGTGGCTCACGCCTGTAATCCCAGCACTTTGGGAGGCTGAGGCGGGCAGATCATGAGGCCAAGAAATCGAGACCAACATGGTGAAACCCTGTCTCTACTAAAAATACAGAAATTATCTGGGTGTGGTGGCGTGTGCCTGTAATCCCAGCTATTTGGGAGGCTGAGGGAGGAGAATTGCTTGAACCTGGGAGGCAGAGATTGCAGTGAGTTGAGAACAACCCCCCGCCCCAACCAAGAAAAAAAGGGAGACCCCATAAAAAAAAAAAAAAAAAAAAAAAAAAAAAGTTAGGGGCAATAGGGGTAGAGTCAATAGATCCAGCATCTGATTAATACAAAATAATAAGACAAAGGCAGAAAATACAGTTTAATGACCATATTTTATAAGCCCAAGAAATAGTCTATGTCAATTAAACTTTGGTTTTTTTATTTTTATTTTTATAACTTTATTATTATTATTATACTTTTAAGTTCTAGGGTACATGTGCGAAACATGCAGGTTTGTTACATAGGTAAACACATGCCATGGTGGTTTGCTGCATCCATCACCCCGTCATCTGCATTAGGTATTTCTTTTAATGCTATCCTTTCCTTATCTCCCCACCCCCTGGTACCCCTCCCCTACCCCCTAGCCCCCCACCCCCCACAGGCCCCGGTGAGTGATCTTCTCTTCCCTGTGTCCATTTGTTCTCATTGTTTAACACCCACTTATGAGTGAGAACATTTGGTGTTTGGTTTTCTGTTCTTGTGTCAGTTTGCTGAGAATTATGGTTTCCAGCTTTATCCATGTCCCTGCAAAGGAGGGTTATGGATTAATTTATCCTTTTTTATGGCTGCATAGTATTCTATGGTGTATATTTGCCACGTTTTCTTTATCCAGTCTATCACTGATGGGCATTTGGGTTGGTTCCAAGTCTTTGCTATTGTGAACAGTGCCACAATAAACATACGTGTGTATGTGTCTTTATGATAGAATGATTTATAATCCCTTGTGTATATACCCAGTAATAGGATTGCCGGGTCAAATGGTATTTCTATTTCTAGATCCTTGAGGAATTGCCACACTGTCTTCCACAATAGTTTACACTCCCACCAACAGTGTAAAAGCATTCCTATTTCTCCACATCCTCTCCAACATCTGTTGTCTCCTTTTTTAATGATCGCCATTCTAACTGGTGTGAGATGGTATCTCAATGTGGTTTTGATTTGCATTTCTCTAATGACCAGTGATGATGACCATTTTTTCATATGTTTTTTGGCCTCATAGATGTCTTCTTTTGTAAAGTGTCTGTTCAAATCCTTTGCCCATTTTTTGATGGGGTGCTTGTAAATATGTTTAAGTTCATTGTAGATTTTGGATATTAGACCTTTGTCAGGTGGGTAGATTGAAAAATTTTTTTCCCATTCTGTTGGTTGCCACTTCACTCTAATGATAGTTCCTTTTGCTTTGCAGAAGCTATGCAGTTTAATTAGATCTTATTTATCTATTTGGGCTTCTGTTTCTGTTGCTTTTGGTGTTTTAGTCATGAAGTACTTGCCCATGCCTATGTCCTTAATGGTGTTGCCTATGTTTTCTTCTAGGGTTTTTATGGTGTTAGGTCTTATGTTTAAATCTTTAATCCATCTGGAGTTAATTTTTGTATAAGGTATAAGGAAAGGATCCAGTTTCAGCTTTCTGCATATGGTTAACCAGTTTTCCCAACACCATTTATTAAATAGGGAATCCTTTCCCCATTGCTTGTTTTTGTCAGGTTTGTCAGTTTGTCAAAGATCAGATGGTTGTAGTTGTGTGGCATTAGTTCTGAAGTCTCTGTTCTGTTCCATTGGTCTATATCTCTGTTTTGGTACCAGTGTCTTGCTGTTTTGATTACTCTAGCCTTGTAGTATAGTTTGAAGTCAGATAACTTTAAGCTTCCAGCTTTGTTTTTTGTTTGTTTGTTTGTTTTGTGTGTGTGTGTGTGTGTGTACTTAGGATTGTCTTGGCTATGCGGGCTCTTTTTTGGTTCCATATGAAGTTTAAGGTGGTTTTTTTTTTTTTTTTTTCAATTCTGTGAAGAAAGTCAATGGTAGTTCGATGGGGATACCATTGAATCTATAAATTACTTTGGGAAGTATGGCCATTTTCATGATATTGATTCTTCCCAACCATGAGAATGAAATGTTTTTGCATCTC